TGAATACTCAGAAGAACAGACCATGAAGAACAGACCATGGTTCCATCTCCCTCATTCTGCTCACATCACTGAGCCCCAGGGAGAGGGAGCGGTGGAACAGGAGAGCCTGAGAACACAGCGATTCACACACGGAACACAGAGACCCCTGGTAGTTCAACAAATGAGTGACGAGCCCTATGCCCATTCATATCGCCCCTCAGCCCGCAAGCCTATTAGCCAGGCATCGCTCCTTGAACATTCACTGTCGACAACATGTGGAGGCATCGCTATAGCAACCGGTGGATGTGACATGTGCAGTGGACGGGGACTCCTGAGCTGCTGAATATAAGGAGGGGCTCAGCCTTAACTAAACGATGGCAGGAGGGAAAAAAAAAAGCTGCACCTCCCGCCACCTCCTCGTCTCTTTTCATTGGCACAGAGGCACTGAAAGGACTCACTAGTGGGGCTTCTTGCACATTCTTCCGACGCTCGGAAAATCAGGCGGGCATATCCCGCATTCTTCTCCACCTTTTCTTCTCCTCGCTCCCCTCTCCGCCTCTCCATCTCGCTCTCTTTCCTTCTTATTCTTCATCTTCGTGTTGAAGAAGAAGGAGGAGAAGAAGAAGCTGCTGTGCTCCTTTTATTGGTGCCGGTGGGACAGGGGGCGCACCAGAGCCTCGCAGGAGAAACTTTTTGGAGAGTCTTGTAGCTGAGCCGACCTCGCTGGAATACAGGAGGCAGCAGAATCATCACCTTCATCACAGCAGCAGCAGCATCAGCATCAGCATCCTCCTCCTCCACCGCCGTCCTCTGCCAAGGGTGCGCTGCGCGCGGCGACATGGATCTGGGTAATTATCTCCGAGCCTGAGCGCCTGGTGTTCAGTGTGATTTGTGTGTTTAACTTCCAGTGTGTCAGACTCAGACCTGAAAAGTCAGTTTGTCAGTGAACGAGTGCAGCCCAGAGCGGCCGCTGGTTCTCCCCGCTCCTCGCCGACATTTCTAATTTAAAATCCACACATGTTTAGTTCAGGCTTTGCTCGTTAATTGTTGATAAAACTCAAAACATACTGTAAATCTGAGAGAAACTGCAGAATAATGGACGTCCGTTTCCGTCCCCGGGCGCCGCCGTCTGCGAAAGTTTGTGGAGCAGCTTGGTCGGCAGCAGTTGCAGCTCATAAATCCTCAGAGCTTGTAAATGCGCTCAGCGTTGGATTCATTTACACTGTTTGAATCATAATAAAAAAAAGTGCACGTACATTTACGTGTAATGATTCAATAATGGGAAACTAGATTTACAGCTTTATTCCTGTATTACTTTTATAGTTTTTAAAGATTTTTTTTTCTTCTGTAAATTAACAAATAGAAAAATTTATAAATTGTCTTTTTTTTCTCTAACAATTTCAACCAAAAGATTTTTTGGATATTTTTGAAGTTATTAAATTGCACCGTTTCTTTGTTTGTTATTTCAAATTTACCAGGTGAAAATCCGACCTATTAAAAATGGGTCTGCTGCTGGGTTTAGGTGGGCTCTCCAATTGTCTTGGTTTTTTTTTTTTGGAGTCTTTGTGATGTGGCTGAATAGATGGCCAGTGGCCCCCAACGCCACCTCTGTGCCTGACCTTTCCTCTCCATCATTTGAATAATCCAGACAAGAGCACCCTGAAATCCATCTGCTCCTTGTCTGCCGTTTGAGATTCAGCGGTGAATTCAGCCGCAGCCTGGGCCGCCGAGAGAAATCTGTTGCTTACAAAGATGAAAGACTTCAAAGAAACCAAATCACAGAATTGAAAAATAAGGTGGAAAAACAGGAGATTTTAAAACAAGACTCTAAATGACTAAATGTCATTAAAATGACTAGTTTTTATCCATCAATAAAATTTATTGGAATTATGTATAAATATATATTTGTTTCAGATAGACATTTGATTTATTTATTTGTTTGGTTTGGTTTTATAATTGAGGAATTTTTGGAGGCAACGACGACAGGTTTATGAATTTTATCTTCACATTTCCTCCTCAGCTCTTTACTGGATTTATCTGGTTTTATCTCCGCACCTTGATGTCCATAAACACACCACGTTGGTAACACATCATATAAGTAACACACCACGTTGGTAACACACCATATTAGTAACACACCACGTTGGTAACACACCATATTAGTAACACACCCCGTTGGTAACACACCATATTAGTAACACACCCCGTTGGTAACACACCATATTAGTAACACACCCCGTTGGTAACACACCATATTAGTAACACACCACGTTGGCAACACACCATATAAGTAACACACCACGTTGGTAACACACCATATTAGTAACACACCACGTTGGCAACACACCATATAAGTAACACACCACGTTGGTAACACACCATATAAGTAACACACCACGTTGGTAACACACCATATAAGTAACACACCACGTTGGTAACACACCACGTTGGTAACACACCATATTAGTAACACACCACGTTGGCAACACACCATATAAGTAACACACCACGTTGGTAACACACCACGTTGGTAACACATCATATAAGTAACACACCACGTTGGTAACACACCACGTTGGTAACACATCATATAAGTAACACACCACGTTGGTAACACACCACGTTGGTAACACACCACGTTAGTAACACACCACGTTAGTAACACTCCATATTAGTAACACATCACGTTAGTAACACTCCATGTTAGTAACACATCACGTTAGTAACACACCACATTAGTAACACACCACGTTAGTAACACTCTGTTACCTAAAAATGGAGGTCGACTGGACGTGGGTTTGTTGAAGACGTTTCACCTCTGATCCAAGAGGCTTCTTCAGTTCTGACTACTGGGGGGTAGTAGTAGTAGTAGTAGGAGGAGGAGGAGGAGGAGGAGGGGGCTTTGGGGCATTCCCAGTTGTTTTCACGCCAGTGTGGTTTTTTTAGGGTAACACTGTGGACGGAGAAGTCTTTGATTGGATTTAAAACCCATAGAGATGCTGCGTGAATGGCTTATATTGGAGGATGTAAGTGCTGAAAATAGCTACAGCAGGCTCCAACATAGGGGTCTGTAGGGGGCACTTTAGTTCCAGCCCTGAGCCCCGCCGTCGATGAGACCCACTGAGCTCCATTCATGTCAGAGAGTTGATAAACTGGAGGAAAATGGAGGTTTTTTTCTGGGCTCCACATTCTTTTCTTTCATATACTTGTTTTTAAATGTGGGTGAGAGTGAAGAGGAGACGACCCCCCCTCCCCCGCAGCCATGCACCAGCCTCTTCACTGCTCTCTGTTGTCTCCCAACCTCTCCATGTCTGATTGAAACTACATCCTTCAGCCTGAGCAATTACAATCAACAGCCACTGTCGTCAGGGGCTAATCCAACAGAGCTGGGCAAAAGAAAAGAAAAACCAAAATGGAGGCAGTTACCAGGTCACAGCAGACCGCCGCCGCCGCCGCCGCCCCTGCCGCTGCCGCCGCTGCTGCCGCTGGGGCCGCGGCCGCTGGTGCCGGC